ACGATTTGCATCATGTGACAGCAAGAGAGTATCAATCCTTCAAGGCTACCTGGGCTCGGCCCGAGTCTGACCATTGCTTTGGCTGGAAGTTCAAGCTTGTGCACATCTTCCTGGAGCGTCCTGTCATTACAGCCTTTTGTGGTGTTGGTGCTCAAGTTTGGGCATATTTTTTCCCTCCCAGTGCTCAAAGCGGCTCCAGTACGCCTCTGAAGCGGAAAGCCACAGACGATCTTGGTGAGCATGAGCTTCTTTCAATCAGCAAAACAAGGTCGCTAGGGTCTGACTCTTCTGCTCTCAAGCGCAAGGTGACTGACTCGGTCACTCCATGCTCGACTGCCAAAGTATCCAGGACAAGCACAAGCGCAACGATTGTGGAATCTCTGCCACCCGACGTTGGAGAGGAGCTCGAGGAGGATTCGGAGATGGTTGTATCAAACATGTCGGAAGAGTCGATGTGCCTATGCCTTTTGTTGGACAGCACCGAGTGGCAAGCTTTGGCATCCCAGAAAGTGAGTTGGATACTGCGTCCATACCGTGGGAGGGAATCTAGATTCACAGTCTTGATTCGCACAAGGGAAGGACACGAAGCAGTCGGAATCATTGAGGTCGGGCAGGTTTGCGACGCAGACTTGAAGGACAAGGCCAAGGTCCAGGAATGGGCGCAGGTCTACTCAACTGCACAATTGTCTTGCATGAAGGCCAACAAACATGCTTGGGCGTGGTGCTTGTCGGAGGTTATGCCCTTTTCAGACCCACACAGAGTGAAGTTTCTGGATTTGGCTCCACGGTACAAGAACCGCCCATTCACTCTTAGCGCTTCAAAGTTGAAGGCCGTGGCTGTCTCCCATACCCCAGAGAAACCCCACCTGCAGGATACAGCTAAATTCTTCTTGGCTCAATTGTCGGAATCCAATCTAGAACAATGCTTGCGGACTGTGCAAGGGCTTCACCAAAAGGTTATTCGCATTGGCACCACCTGTTCTGGAACTGACATTTGTGTTCATGTGCTCAAAGAGACAGTGGGCACGTTGTGCAAGCTGAAGGCCGGGCATTTTACACTTCTGTATATAATGTATATGTATACATAATAAATGGTTAGTTATACCGTTATACCTATTGTAGTACCTGTACTGAGTGTGCACAATGGTTTTTTCCCTCACCCGTTAGGACAGTTGCTAGATGTTTGTTTTGTGTGTTTTAAGGCTGGAATGCAGGCATTCTAAGTTATGTTGATTCCTAGCTCATATGGCATGTAAGGACAGTGGGGTTGCTAGATCTTATGAAATTGGGCAAGATATATATATATATATATGTGTGTACGTGTGTGTGTGTTTCCCCTTGCCCTTTCCTTCCCTTCCCCGTTTCCGCTTTCCCTTTCCGTTTCCCATTCCCACTCCCGTTTCCATGTTTAATCTGCCGTTTCCCATTATGCTTCCCGGTACCTTCCTTCCCTTCACCGTTTCCCATTTCCGTTTCCCATTCCCACTCCCATTAATCAGGAACTCAAGCATTCTAAGTATGGTTTGTCCTTGCTCATATGCAAACATACCGCAGTCCTCTAAGTATTCCTCAGACCCTGCACAGGGCTGGAGCATCCAAGTCCAACACGTGTTTGCTTGCGAGAGCCACGAATCCAAACGTCAGCTACTGCTCCAAGAGCACCCAGACGTCTTGCACTGCTTCGCCGACGTATCGGTGTTTGAGACTGGGAGTGGATATTGTGACCGATGTCATTGCCAGCATGAAGTGAACCCGTCAGTGTTCGGGATCGACATTCTTATTGCCGGTCCTAGCTGTAAAAGCGTCAGCAGATTGAATTCGCAGCGGGCAGATCACGCTCAATGCTACATTGACTCTACGGGCACTTCTGGTAGCACGTACGAGTTTGGCTTCAGAAAGGCACCATGGCAGCGTGAAGGGAAGACTTTTGCGGTGATTCCCCCTGAATAGGTTTAGCGGTGATTCCCCCATTGATGTGGTTGAGGAAAGTTTATTGATCCATGTCTTAATTTTACTTGTTCGCAGGTTGTGGAAATGTTCTCACCTGCCTTGGCTGTCTATGAGAATGTTCCCGGAGCCGCGCAGCAGACTACTGATCCCGCGGGTCGCAAGCACAAGCCGGCAGTGGAGGTTGGGGCCATGGTTATTTTTCTGGCAAAAGGCAAAGGGTGTATATGGCATGCTGCTAAGTTACTTGTTTGGCTTCTTCGGGTACTGTGTGTTTCGGGATTGAAAAGGAAAGTGCCGAGTGGCATTCCAAGTGCCTTGTCTACCCCTGTTGCTTTCATTCAGCTCAGGAATATACCAGTGGATGACATGAGACAGCTTGGGAAGAATGCTAGGCACATATGTATATCTGTATATAATATATATAGACAGGAGAATGCATGCTGGTATTCTAAATTGCCAGTCCACTTTGCTTTTTCATTCAGCGCAGGTATTAGCACAAGACATGAAGAAACTGGGCTACCACTTCACTTGGCAGATTGTGGATTCACGACACTTTGCTTTGCCCCAACGTCGCAATAGAATCTGGGGAGTAGCTGCCGTCATCACCGGAGAAGAAGATCCAAAACGGGTGGGGGAGTTGTACTCTGAATGCCTTGATTCTATGAAGAGCAACTTTCAATTTCCGACGGAGGTGAACTTTCCTCCGAAGCCCAAAGAGAACTACCGGAAACGGCAGCACAAGGATCTGGTCGAGAGTGCCAAGCAACAGTCCTTTCGCTTGACGGACGTCTTTGTGGACTGCAATGGAACCATGAGAAGACAAGTTTATTGTTTTGGAGCCGTGCCATGTGTGATCCCAAAACATCCTGTTTTCTCCGTTGAGATGGGGAGGTACCTTGGAGCAGAGGATCTGCTCAACTGCCAAGGCTTGTGGCGGAGCACATGGTCCCCAGCTGGCTTTGAGCAGCTGCTACAAGATCCAGTTTTGGCGCATGACTTGGCGGGGAACTCCTTCTCTTCCACTGTTTGCCAAAGTGTGCTCTTGAGTACATTTGTGTGCCTGCCTGCAGCATGGTCCCATGCGGGAGCTTCAAATCCACCTGATGCTGATGCGAATCCTGGAAGAATGCTTCGGAGGCTCAGGGGCAAGCAGGCTTCTGACCAATACGGACCTTGGCACATTCAGCGGGTTGAGAAGGCGGAGAGATTTGGGAGAAGTGCCAAGGCAAAAAAGGCCCGGAGGAAAGTGCCCTATGCCCGTAAGAGCAAGGATGGGGACAGCCGCCGTCACAGCAAGGGCAAGAAAGAGGTTGCTAGCATTTGGAAGAAGGAGCAACTGTTGGGCACTTAGTTTTACCAAATGGCATGTCCCTTGAAGTGTTCACCACTGTGCACGCATTCTAACACCATCGCGGAGCTCATTCATTCATTCATGCATTCATTCGGCACGCTACTCTGATTCGGTTTGCTCATGCATTGATTGGTATGTTCCTGCGTGTAGTGAAGGGAGGTGCACGTCTTTGGGCGAGGGCCACTAGGTTCAGCATATGTCAATGTTGACCCCCC